GAAACAGAAAACCCACATACGTTTTGTTTATTTTTTTCGATTTTATTAAAAACACAACATTTACGACGTTTTCGAGCTATACGTGGGTCCCTCTTTGGGCACTACAAAATACACAAATTATACTGTTTCAATACACAATAGTCAATTTTACATTCATAAACATTATTGAAGAATACATAAAATATTCGATAAAAATTATATAAAATTTCAATTTGTATACAACATACGCTTGTCATTTGTTAATGCGTTTTACTAAAAATATGGTATATAACACGTACCACTGAACAGTTAAAAAGTTAGCATGTTTGGCTAATGGATCGTTAGATCGTTGTTCCTTTTGCTTATACGGGTAATTTGCATGTGTTTCTTGTTTCAATAATGGGATAATTTCCCTTGGAGATGATTGTCAAAATAATAAGGAACTGAAGAATGTAAATAACTAAATAATTAGAAGAGAATCTTAACTTCAATTGAACAACAAAAACGACGAAACATTTTTTTTGTTGAAAATTTGGAAAAGAGGCTTCATGTAAAGTACCTTTCAGAATTAAAACATCAGTTTCAAATTCAAGGGGCTGTCACATCAGCCAGATCGATCGGGGAATATCAATTGTGAAGAAAATATGCAGAACGGTTTAGCTGCCAGCATTGTTCACATATGGAAGGAAGACGGGCGTTTTGCCGTCATTCTACTTTTCGTTATCAAGGACCACAAAACATAGATTCCGAGCACAGCTTTTTTCTAAATTTATGAACTGGATTTATCTACTTTTTCGTCGTTACCAATGACTGCCGAAAATTCGCCCTTTTTTCGCGCAGCATTACATAACTTTCTCTCTACTCCGTAGCGAGAGAGTAAAATGAATTCTTGTGGTTTCATAATACCTTTTTAAAACAGGTTGATAAGGGATATATAAAAAAGTTAGACAGCCATTAGTAAAAGCGGCTATGTTTAGGGCATGCAAAGCATGCTGAAAGTTCAGTTTTTACATTAGTGCTGAAAGTCAGACTCAAGTGTTCAGATAAATCTGTCAATCCATCCAGGGAAACTAAAATACTTTCGTTTGATCGCATCAACTACTACTGACCTTAATGCATCATAGCTTCAAATGAAGTGATTTGTATACTTGAATTAAAATTAAATGAAATTCATTATGACTGCCTAAAAAATAGTGTACGACACACGTTGTAAAAGTGATTCCATGTTGCTCGTAGGATTGACCTATCGGTCTCATGTCTCAACAAGTCGTACTCACAAAATAAAATACCACTTTTGCCACTCGTATCATAGATGATCCTGTGGCCGTTGTAGATAAAATATTAAATAACACACATTTTATAAAACATTGTAACGATCAGCTAACGAAGCCCTCGAAGGCAAAAGCAGTACTAGTTTCATTACGATGAGTTTACCAAACTTGTTTCGGTAATAACTATAACGGCCATTCTCAGTTCAGGAACATCTGGCAGACGGAGCTCCATCGCCATATCGCTTTCCGTTGATCCCCGTCGGATGAACATGTGTCGCAGAGGCGATGCACGTGTGCCCAATGTAGATATGTCTCCCCTTTTTGTGCTCTCCAACTCATTCAATCAAGATCAATGTAACCAGTCGTTGTTTCCGGCGCTCTGTTTGTTTTTAACTGTGTTACTTGCCAGTGGCGGTCGGTCACTCCGAGGACGAGGGAAGCACTACTATGGAGCAACGGCAACTATAGTAGTAATATTACAATTGTTTAATTTTTAGGAATTATTTAGTATAAAAATTTTGCTAAGATAACAACCACAACAATCTTCTTCTTCGTTTTCTTCTTCTTTTTCTTCTTCTTCTTCTTCTTCTTCTTTTTCTTTTTCTTCTTCTTCTTCTTCTTCTTCTTCTGCTGCTGCTGCTGCTTCTTCTGCTGCTGCTTCTTCTTCTTTTTCTTCTGTTTCTTCTTCTTCTTTTTCTATTTCTTCTTCTGTTTCTTCTTCTTCTTCTTCTTTTCTATTATTATTATTATTATTATTATTATTATTATTATTATTATTATACCTGTAACTATGACTTGCGTATTTGAGATGATTTCCTTGTTATTTGAAATGTAAATCTATCTTCCTGCTTTTATTACCAAATTCGTGAAAATTAGTTTCTGGAGTTTCATCATACTTTCTTAACAATGCCAGAAGTTTGATGTAATTCCCTCTATTAAGAGACTATTATTCGGAGTGCCCTATGAAAATGATCTTAACGAAGAAAATTACCACATCAATTAGGCGCCGCACAATTTTGCTATAATTTTGAATTGCTTATTGTATTTCCTCATGTTGTTGTCGAACTGGAAATCTATTCGGGCAGTACCAAATTTTGTGAGACGAATTTATAGATAATCTAATACTATTTTGTTTTTGTTGATGCCACTGCATGCTTTTCAATAAATTATTCATATAATCAAATCTAGAACCGTTCCAAAAATGTTTGAATTCAAAAATAATACACAGGGCCCCCAATGTAAATTTGAGAACCTGTTACAAGCACATAACCAGTCCGCCTTTTTATTCTGCTGGATGTGACACTGCGATACATACCATTTTCGTTTGTGTCTGCATACCGGTACTATGTGTCAAATCAGGGGTAGGCTGTCCTTGCGAATTTTTTTTTTTTTAACTTCAAAAACGCAAGCACAGCTGTGGACTATCCCCTCCTTGCCTCCCGTGCATGCAATGATTACTACACATGACTTTGGAAACACAATGAACGTTTCACATGCAATTCGTTTACAAAGTGGCTGAGGACAAGCAGTTTTTAGAAACAGTTTCCTCGGAAAAATCCATTTCTCGGTAAAATTGCAAGTACCAAGCATACAGAACGACCTTTTACAATTTAAGTTCAACGACTATTAAGGGAGCTACAACTATTTCTGACCATACTGGTCAATTATACTATCTCTACTCCCGAAAAAATAATTTCAAGGGGAATGTTTTGAAATTGCCATTCCCTACGCATGACGAGAGCAGCCTAACTAGTTCTGCAAGCTACCGCAAGAGCGCTAGCTATCAACAGTATTTTCATAAAGTGCCACCAGATAGCAACATATGTGAAATGAGGACGAACATATTACCGAAATTGGCAAGGTCGGCTCTTTGCCTCTTTTACAGCAAAATATATATTACTAGTTGAAGGTGAAGTCTTTCATGCCTAGATGTGTTCAAACAGGTTCTTACAGTTTCTGGCATTGGACTTACCAATGAATCGTTGTAGCTGATAATGTTATATTCCCGTTCAAAAAATCGCAACACCCAATGGCTTTGTGTGTAACTTCCATGCGGGATATGAACTGTTTTTATTGTAATTAAAAAGTTGTAATCGCCGTAAAAAATACTTACTAGTATTGATGATGCGAATAGAGTTTAGTCCAGCTACATTTTTTACGCTTTTGGCTAATATGTACAAAAATGCACATAAAATATATGTTCTGCGTTATTCTCTAATCTTAATTTAAAATCGTTCTCAAATACTTCTGAAAATGTTGTCGCAAAATCTTCTACAACTACATTTGATTTTTCTCCGGATTTACTTAACACTTTCATATTCCCCCCTCCATAATTTTTCCAGAGATTAAAATACCACAAACTCAGTCTACGCCGTTCCCTAATGCCGTTGTTTATAACTACAACACTCAACGTAATAATTATATTCATAAGGTGACTGTATCAACAGATCACTACAATAAATTCACATATAATATATGTACATTATTTTACAATACCTTGTCAGATGACATTAAATGATTAAATTCGATTCAAAAGTTTAAGTCCCAAGTAAAATCTTTTCCGCTGCACAGCTGTTTCTATACAATTAGAGACTATAACGAGCATCTAAAAGGAAAGTAATATTAATTTTAACAATGACATTTAATATATTATATACCGTTTAATTGTATAATTCTAAAGAATCTGTAACAAGTATTGTTCTTCAGATTCTGGGCAATGACCCCCATCTCGATAAGGTTTTCTTCCAGTTTCCCTGATCCTCGAGCAAATGCTGAGGTGGCCCCTTGTTTTGCTTCTGGACATAAATATAACTTCAAATTAGCTTCTCCCCTTAGCACGTCACACACAATTTTTAACTGTTTTTGACGTAAATAAGTAGATAAGTGTAATTTGTGTTCATGTCTACTTTTGTAATTAATCTATTAATCTTTTAAATGTGAATCTATATAACCATTATAAGGTGACTGTTTTGTTTGTTTATCGGACCGCTGTATTGGATTAACTACCTATTATAAGGAAAATAACATTGAAGCAAGTGTGTGCGAAGTACAGTAGTATACTGTTCTGGCTTTTCTATAGTATTGATCGCTACTACCTGTCAGAGCAGCCGGTCATTAGAATTTTCCTGACAGCGGTTGAATTCGATTTTGCTATCTAGTTAGAATTATATGTCCGCCAACATTGGGATTCATACCCTAGAATCTCCCGGTCATAGATGCGGTAGCCGCGACAGCTGTTGTCCTGAGCCATTTCAGTCGGTACTGCTTAGGAAATAGTAAGTCAGTTGCAAGTAATCTGTCCTCAACCTTCCGTTAGACAAGAAAACAAAGAGAATTACGAGAATGAGAAGGTCAAGAAGAAAAATACGAGGGCGGGAGAGGGAAGAAAGAGGCAGAGGAGAAGAAGGAGAAGAGAGGGAGAAGAAAACGGGCAAGAGAACGGGAAGGAGAAAAGGGCAAGGGGAGAAGGAGGATGATGGGAGAATGAAAAGGGGAGTAGGAGGGAAGGAAGAAAAAGGGCCAAGAGAAGGTGGAAGAGAAGAAACCAGGAGGAAATGGAGGGGGATTATGAATATAATGACAAGAGGAGAAGGAAACGCAAAGAGGAGGCGAAAGAGGAAGAGGAACTGAAAAAGATGAGAAAGAATGAACCAGGAGTAGGAAACCGAGACGGAGAAAAAGGAAGAAGTTGGTCGAAAGAGCGCATCGTGTTAACCTCGAGGGGAGGTCGCGCGGCGGCGAGGAACTCACGTGAATCCGGAAATGGTGTTGAGCAGCGTGGTCTTGCCGGCGCCCGACGGCCCCATCACGGCGACCACCTCGCCGGCTCGGAACTGGCCGCTCACGCCGCGGAGCAGCACTTTCCGCTCTGGAACAGAACGCACCCAACGCTCACATCAGCACCTATTCCCCGTCCCACCGCTTCCCGCCACGCACAACGACGACCAGTGGGACGCGGAATATTCCTTCCTCGAATGGGCAGGGCGAATGCAGCCGACCACATTGGGGAGGACCATCGTAGATTTTTGCTCAATAATGAACGTATTTTATATTATATTGTACGTATTTGAAGTATACATGATACTGGTTCGAGGCTAGCTCTTGGTTAGCGTGCTCGCTTTCCGCTACGCTGCCTCGGGTTCGATTTCCGCTCGAGTTAAGACTGCGCGTTTTCCTTGTGGTGTCCCAGTATATGCAGTTGTGTGACGATGCGAAAATTCACTTCACAGGTCGAGAAAACCGGAATGGCCTGGGGATGTCTACGTGCTAACCACACGGGAACGCACGACCCCGAGACAGGGATGTCGCCGGTAGGCCTGAGCCCGTTCACGAAATATGAAACTATTAAATATAATTTTGTACATAATAAAGTAATTCGCACATAAACAAATATTTAAATAACTTGGGGCAAATAAGAAAAGGTCACAGACGACCTTCTCTCAGCCTTTTGGGGGTGGGAGCATAGCCCTCGTGCCCTCCTCCCCCTGGACCCAATCCGGCGAAGGGGGAATATTTATGCACAAAAACAAACAGAACCAGACTACAAAAAATGATACGAGAAGGGATGTCTGACTTCTTTGGCATCCTACACGGTCCTAGCGATTTCAAATCGTAACATATGCTTATTAATGAGAAGAAAATCTGATAAACCTAAAAAAAACGTGGTCAGAATTTCGTTTAGATTACTATCTAGATGAGTAATGTCAAGGTCTTCTATTGTTGGCAGTGACTCGCTTCGTGGGACCGTTGCATGTCACGAGCTCCTCAGCGCAACTAGCGTCGGGAAAGGAAACTAACGCCGCCACTTTCCAACTGGGTGGAATCGTTTGTAAAAAATGAGGATATGCACAGAAAAATAATAGTAAAACTATTAATAAATGTACCGAACGTTTTTAAATTTGTTTATCTACGAGTAACCCCGCCTAATTGTATTTCATACGTAACGTGTAAAAGCGTTCAGGTTGACTTTGACTACCTCCTACTTTCTTGAGGCGAGGTGATCAACTGCATGGAGTGATTTTGTCGTTCTACCCGCGCCACGGACTCCTGGTGGCATCGACCTTGATATTACTGATTTAGATGATGTATTGAAGGTAAAACATACTTTTAACTTTTAAACGAATTGTTACTTTGTAAACTTTTAAGAAGAGAACTATTATCAAGGTCACGTCAAGATCAATTATTTTGTTGTTTTCATATTTTTTTTTTTGAGATATAGAGTAGTGTAATTAGGCACGCTTCATGTTTGTTGAGCAAGTGTGGAGATATAATCTTGCCCCCACAGTTGTTTAGATCCTTCCCAGTCCCGGGAAGGAAAATGTTGATCACGCGATTGTGTTTAATGTCGGGATAACTGATTTATGAGGAATTCTTCTTCCCAAAAATCTTTTCCCATGAAAATTTGATAATATACATAATTTATGAATTCTGAAATAATTCATGAACTCTGAAAGAAATTCCCATGGAATTTTATTGCCGGATGTATCAACGCGGTGGGTATGATAGGGATGTCATCCGTTTTTATGACAGTAAAAGATTTTAGAGTGACCGTGGCGAGTTCCCGAGAAAGCGAGCAGTTCCCAGAGTAACACGCGTGCAACGACAAAAACCACACTGAGATGATTGAACGTGCGATTACACTGAATGTCACTCTTGCGAAACGTCGGCCCGTCACGTTTTCGCCCCCATGTGCACCTACCGGTGGCGCATAGCCCTCGTGCATCTCTCCAGGCCAGCGTTGCCAACCTTTTGATCTGCTCGGACACAATTGATTCGTAGGGAGTGCGGTCGCCTTGTGTGTGTTACATCACTACCACTTTTCAATTAGACCACGAACAGTAATATTAATAATTATAAGTATATAGAATATGTAGAAGGCAGTTTTCTTGAATACACGCCGAATTGTTAGGAACCACCTGAATCTCCAATTATGCAACCGCTCATCTGGTCATCATACCTGTGAGTGATTGACATACCAACCAATAAAAACTGTGAAGGATAAATATTAATATTAATAATAATAAAAAGAAGAATAAAGAATAAAAACAAAGAATAAAGTCTGAATAATAAAGAATAAACGTTAAAAAGTCGTCCATGTGGCGCGGACTGTTGCGATAGGCCGCACAGTCAGAGCTGATAAGGCTGCAGGTTCGAGTCCTGAGCGTGGACTTGGTCGTTTTTGTGATTGTCCCTTCACCCATCATCATTATCCTATCACCTCAAAATTCACACTTCAAGACGTAACAATCTTGTGGGACTGAGGGATGCAGCTTAAAAGCTAATCATGGAAGAATTACCCACGTTAACGTTTCTCGAAATCTCAACAATTTTCAGTGAACACTAGCTCAATATTCCGCAATTTCAGAAACGCTCAAATTCCATTTTCTCAAAAACGACTCCACTTTTTGTCGTCAAACATTTAGAACGGATAGTGGTAAGTGCACTCTTTTATATGACGTAAAGTTCATTTCTGTTTCTTTTTCTTTCAAAAATTACACAAATGTACATTTTTGAAAGATCTCTCATGCTGGTGATAAGCACATTTCCAGCTATATGTAAAAATCATTGTATTTGTGAGTTAAAGTACTAAAATCACTTCAAATTAAGTTTTTCAAAACCCAAAATTTTCTGTGAAAAAGGGCTTGAAATTTCAATTTTACAGCAGCACTTACTCGCCAATTTATTGGAAACGACTCCAAATTGTTCAAGTAAAACAGCTATTTAGGGCGATATTTTGCTGTTCTGTAATAATCTTAATATAATATTTCGGGTCTACAATTAGGAAACCTAAACATTAAGAGAATGTCAAAAAATATACTTTGGGCGGCGATAGATGGCAGCTGGCAGGAGTATGCGACATGTCCGAGAAGCTAGCCGAGACCAAAGAAACTAGAAAACTAATACGGGAAAGTCTGGCCCATTCTGTAGCACCACTAGTTCGATATCTGCGTATTTCCGTTGAAATCTCAAAATCGATTTTCCACCGCATTACATTATTTTCCCTATACTACGTATATTACTCCGTACGTATGCGGGAAAGTAACTAGAAAACAAAGTAACCTATGCCATCTTTATAAATGTATTTTACTCTATTCTCTAAGAAATTTAAAGAAAAAATATGGAAGCGTTATTAAGTAAATTTTGAAAATGTCCAGAAGACTTCATGTAAAGTACCTTCAAATTGTAAAGAAGTTTTTTCGAAATGTGAAAGATTCGACTCGAACCAGATGGTCAGGAGTTTCTTCAATTTGGAAAAAAATATACGCATCGTTTAGGCGCTAGTGGTGTTAACAGACGGACAGATAAAGAGATGGATAGACGGACAGACGGAAAGACGGGCAGACGGACAGACGGACAAACGAAGAGACGGGCAGACGGGCGGACATTTCGAAAAGAACCACTTTTTCGGTATTAGGGACCCCAAAATGTCTATTTCCATTGAAATATCGAAATGGATTTTCCGCAACATTACATTATTTTCCCTACGGAGTACACTTGTATATTCTCCAAAAATTGATATTCCCCTTTGGATCTGAAGAAACTCAAGGTCTTGGAAGTTTGAAACGAATATTTTGGTTTTTAGTGTAATTTACACGAAGCCTCAACATTTAAAACTTTTTATTAAATATGACACAATATTTTAATAAATTGTTTCCCTCGAATAGAGTAAAGGACGATTTATAATGACACGGGTATCATTTTCGTTGAACTCTATGAAGTTTCAAAAATTGCAAAAGATAGAAACAATTTGAGAAAGTGTACGCTGTTGTAGAACCACTAGATTACAGATGCAGTATGTTGTTGTGCCCTGACTTAGGCACTTGTCAATTCTTCGATTTCAAGGCTCAGCAAAACTAGAAAATATGTTCTTATGTATGCTATTTACGCCACGCAAATTGGTTCTTGTATGGAAGTGGGAATAGAATTTGTTTGCAACAATGTTTCTGATTTCTCCTGGAGAATCCAATTCAAGGAGATTTACACTCCATCTCAAATGCAACGTACCTTCAGGAGACGAAGAAGCATGACTCAGTATTTAAGAGAGATAATGGTTTATATAGGCAAAAAATTATTGACATTTATTACAAACGCTTGAAAGCGTAGTGTATACCATCCCAATGAGAATCACGTATGGTTAAGTACCATAATTGTTACGTCGTAATCGATTCCTAGTCTTTTAACACTCATTAAGAAATCATAATTATTTATTCATCGTATGTATTTTGCAATAAATATGCATTCACATATGGAGCATTAACACAATAGTGGTAAAACGACCAAAAATAAATAAATGAAAAGAGAAGTCAACATTTAAATCAATTCATTTCACAAGCATACAAATATATATTTAGATTTAGCCAATACATATATAGGGATTCCTATATTTCATTTTAAAAGGTTTAGGGTACAAACTTATCTGTTACGCTTATATACTTGCTTGTCACTTTTGAAGTGTTCTTATTTCATGCCGAAATTGGGAATCGAATACACATCTCTTAAGTTAAACATTATAAGCGACACGCACAAAACAGCTCTGGTAGCTGTCCGTCTCAGAGAACAGCTGCTGTCGTAATATCGTCTCTGACGGAGAGGCCTTAGTGTTCGAGTCTTAATAATGGCGGAATTTGCAGCTACTTATTGGCACCAATGAAGCCGTAGGCTCTCAGGTTACGCTCGTTGGTTAGCGTGCTCGTTTTCCACGGTGCAGCCCTAGGTTCGATTCCCGGTCGAGACAAACATTAATTGTGCGCTTTCCTTGCAATGTCCCAGTATTTGTTGCTGTGTGACCATGAGAAAGCTCACTTTACTGGTCGAGAAGATCAGAATACTGCGTAACACATGTACCCCTTAACCCATAGCCGCAAGGCCGGGTTGCTGGTAGCTGCTGGCCTTAGCTCGTAAAGAACTGTTGTGCCACAGTACAAACATACATACATACAAATACAGCCGATGTATGGAGAATTCTAGGGATCCGCTGCTCTTATCGGGCGAATAACGGAGAAGTTCTCTTCCTCATTTTTGACTCCTTCTCTCCCTTACACACACACACACACACACACACACACACACACACACACACATGTATGTGTGTATTGACGTGTCTTTTCGAAATAGTTTACTTTAGTAACGGTTAGTCCATATTTTCTTTGCATTGTTATGTTTTTGTGCTTCGTCAGTATTCAGGCACTGAATCATCATTCATACTTCGTTTACGAGTATTAAATTTCAAATCATGATCTGATTTATATGCACAACGTGTTACAGAACGCCACCTTCGCCCTTTGTTTCAGGTCCTCCCAATGCGAAATTCCCCGACCCCTTGCAGTCGGTCACAGATCCTAAAAAACTTCACGGGAGTTTATAGCAAGGAGGGGGGGCAGAAATATCGTGGGTAGCTGTGGAACCAATTTCAAGAACGAAAACTGGTTTTGGGCAAAACCTTGAACTGAGATTGCTTTAGTAGAATTCTGAATGATCTCACGATTGCATGGATTGTGTCTAGTAAAATGTTACGTCACTTGACCTTGTTAAAATTTTTCAAAAGAGGCCCTGTTGCCATACGCAATAAAACATTTTATTTATGT